CTAAATTGAGAACTTTTAAGCAATAGCCTACCATATCATGTTTAACCATATTTTATCTAATTGTGATGTTTTAATGATTTGGAGCAGAGGATAAGTCTGCTTGGAGGACAGATGAAGAATTTGCCAGAGAAATGCTGGCTGGAGTGAACCCTGTCAACATCAGTCGTCTCCAAGTAATCTTCAACATTTTTGTATGATGTTTTGCAATGATAATGGACAAAAAGAAAACAAAACTTTCGAGGGTCAATTTCGTTCGTCTTTAACCATATTTGCTTCTAACGGAACTGCAGGAATTTCCACCAGCAAGCAAACTAGACCCAAAAGTTTACGGTGATCAAACTAGTACAATAACAGAACAAGATTTAGGGAATACCATGGATGGACTACCAGTGGATGAGGTAATATCTTGGATTTGCTTACTTTACATTGCAATTAGCTTATGTTGATTTTATATCATTTCATAATGACGAAAATTTGGTTGGATAGGCATTCAAGCAGAACAAGTTATTCATATTAGATCATCATGATGCATTGATGCCATACCTGAGGCGGATAAACTCAACTTCCAACAAGATCTATGCTAGCAGAACAGTTCTTTTCTTGAAAAGTGATGGAACTTTGAAGCCATTGGTGATTGAATTAAGCTTGCCTCATCCTGATGGAGATCGATTTGGTCGCATTAGTAAAGTATATACACCAGCTGAAGAAGGTGTAGAAGCCTCCATATGGCAACTGGCTAAAGCTTATGTGGCTGTAAATGACTCTGGATATCATCAACTTATCAGTCACTGGTATTAATCTTTCAAACAAAGAAAGCTTTAAAATTAAATTCATCATATTACTTTGAATTGGGTTTCTGATAATCCTTTTATCTTTTGGCCACAGGTTGAACACCCATGCAGTGTGTGAGCCAGTTGTAATAGCTACAAACAGGCAGCTAAGCGTGGTTCACCCAATTTACAAACTTCTGCATCCTCACTTCCGTGACACCATGAACATAAATGCATTTGCCAGGCAAATCCTGATTAATGCTGGCGGCATTCTGGAGACAACAGTTTTTCCAGCTAGGTATGCCATGGAGTTGTCATCAGTGGTTTATAAGGATTGGGTTTTCACTGAGCAAGCTTTCCCTGAAGATCTCATCAAGAGGTAAACAAAACTCTACACTTTGTGAGTTATTAGCCACTGCTCACATAAGTAACTCAAATGAGCACAATATAAGTAATAAATATCCATTTCTTATTCTAATTACATTGCTTTGCCTTTGATCAACAGAGGAGTTGCGGTCAAGGATGAAAATTCTCCACATGGTCTTCGCCTACTGATCGAGGACTATCCATATGCCGTTGATGGGATTGAAATCTGGTTTGCAATTAAAACTTGGGTTGAAGACTATTGCTCTTTCTACTACAAGACTGATGACATAATTCAAAAAGACACTGAACTCCAATCCTGGTGGAAGGAGCTTGTAGAGGAAGGCCATGGTGACAAAAAAGATGAGCCCTGGTGGCCTAAAATGCAGACTCGCGAAGACCTGGTAGAAACATGCACTATCATCATATGGACTGCTTCTGCTCTCCACGCAGCTGTCAACTTTGGACAGTACCCTTATGCAGGCTACCTCCCCAACCGCCCTACTATAAGCCGAAAATTCATGCCTGAGAAGGGAACTCCTGAGTACAAAGAGCTCGAATCCAGCCCCGATACAGTTTTCTTGAAAACAATTACTGCTCAGCTGCAGATAGTGCTTGGCATTGCCCTTATTGAAATTCTGTCAAGGCATTCTACTGATGAAGTGTATTTGGGGCAGAGAGACACTCCTGAGTGGACAGCAGACACAGAACCATTGAAAGCCTTTGATAAATTTGGAAAGAAACTGGCTGAAATTGAGGACAGAATTACAAGTATGAACAATGATGAGAAACTGAAGAACCGAGTTGGACCGGTGAAGGTGCCCTACACTTTGCTATTTCCTACTAGCGAAGGAGGACTTACTGGCAGGGGAATTCCCAACAGTGTCTCAATCTAAGTGGGAAGCCTTTGAAGCTGCTATTAGTATAGTTAACTATAATTAATGCGTTCTTTATGTGTAATATGAACTACAATATTACAGTCGCAATAACGCTTTGTAAATAAATTGGCTATAGTGTACAATACCTTTATACACACACAGAGCTTCCATTGAGGGATTCTTCAAATTAACTTATTTGAGGGACACTCATCTTTATAGAAAAACACTTAAATCCGATATCATTTGATAACTCAATTAAATTATTGAAATTCAAGTATTTTCTTGAAGCACCGTGTCCATTGATTTTGTATGGGTGTCGAAACGGGATTTGTCTAATTTTTTGCAATGATGATCTATAAATATAGACTTAAAAAATAGATGATTTAGATCGTTGAAAAAAAATTCATAGGGGACCCTATTATTTGAGGAGGAACTTCTGCTGACAAAAGTAGAACAAGATATCTAGCCTTGAGAATAGCATATGGGTCCTTTGCCGTGGTTGTCATGAATGTGATGACATTCTCATCCTAACCATGATTTATAAAAAACAAAAACAAAAAAAAAAACAAAAAAAAACTTAATATGTGCATAACTAAAAGTAATCAATATGAGCACAAAACCATACATAGATTGAAAAAAAAAACCACTGATCCATAGTTCATGCTTACAAAAGTCAATAAATTTACAAACATTTATTATAACATGCCACATCCAATTCACATGAAATGTCATACTCGTCTAAAGTAGATTTCAGCATATCGACCAAGCTTCTTGCAAATCTGTTGCTGTGAAAAAACAATATCAAGACTCATAGGTAAGAATGCTTTGTTCATTTACATAATTATCATAGTAATAATCATATTTTATGAATCTCATGAATGGAATAACTTATGACGGAAAATTAAACAGAAAATATGGCACAAAGATGAAATTGTTGAATTTCATACACAACAGCCTTAACAATTTAAAATAGTCTAATCCCTTTTACTTGTATTTCAGAGTTGGTTGTTTTACTTATCTGAGTGGCCCAAACACACCAACAAAGAATTACAACACCCATGTGAGCCAGAGAGGATGAGTTTCTGTCAACTACGTGAAAGGTACGGACGTGTTTTTTGGTAGTATGAGCATAATTGAAATCATCCAATACCATGCATACACATGGCAAATAATAGAAACGCAAAAGACATCAACAAAGAGGGTTTCATTATAACATGCCACATCCAATTCACATGAAATGTCATACTCGTCTAAAGTTGATTTCAGCATATTGACCAAGCTTCTTGCAAATCTGTTGCTGTGAAAAAAAAAAGTATTGCTAAAATTTGTCTATATTTGGTTATTTGGTCAAGTGGGTTGGAGGTATTCACCAAGAAAAAAAATAGGGTTGAGGTTTTTTTGATACAAAGAAGTATTGGGGAGGGAGGAATCGGACCTAAGATCTAGGATACATTATTAAATATTTTTAATTACTTGAACTACAAGCTCCTTGCGAGATTTCTTGAATCATATAATCCATAGAAAAGGACGGGTCCTTAAGTCAACCACAGAAATGGAGGAAAACGTAGCTGGATTGGATTGGTAACTTCGAAAAGACCACCACATGCAGGGCAAGTAGTATACGAGACTTTTTGAAAGAAATGGTCACCTGTACTACTGTTCTATATATTGAACTCATTGACCTTAATAAATACAACACACACCATTCTCATATTCTTCATGCTGAGATCTTCAAACCATCTTCTATTAAGTTCTTTTAGTTCTTGAATCGAATGGAAGATGCTACATTGCAAGCATCTCTTATCCCCTTTGAGCTTCAAGAGAAAAGTAGTTGCAGTAGCAACACCCAACAACCTCACATCAATCAATCACAGGCCACTACTGTTGCCTAAATTGCCTGGTTTCTTGAGCATGGATGATGTTACACGATCTCAACCGTTGCCTTTGGCTTCAACAGCTGCCAAGGCATCCCAGAACAACACCATTGATCCACACCCCAACTATGAGGGCATGAAGATCAAAGGGAGGGTGGTGTTGATGAAGAAGAATGTTCTGGACTTGAACGACCTTACAGCATCGGTTCTCGATCGTGTTGAAGAGCTGGTAGGCAAAGCGGTTTCTCTGCAGCTCATTAGTTCTGTCAATGGTGACCCTGGTGAGAACTGAATACTACTTTGTCTTTTAAGTTCATAGATACATAGGCTTCTAGTTCACTTGTTAATTTGTTAGCATCCATGCTTATTTAATGGTTCCAAGTTACTTGTAGTTATTAGTACCAGAACCTCAAAAGAGAAAACAAAACATCTCAATTAAGAACAGAGAAAGAAAAAAAAACTAGTATTTGGAGGTTTTATAATTGAACATCTATTGATCCTTTTTTCATTTGATCTCCTTTTGTAGAAAAGGGGTCCCCAGGAAAAGTTGGAAAGCCAGCATATTTGGAAAATTGGATTACCACAATCACCCCCTTAACAGCAGGGGACTCTGCATTTGATATTACTTTTGATTGGGATGAGGAGATTGGGGTCCCAGGAGCATTTATAATTAGAAATGATCATCACAGTGAGTTTTACTTGAAGACTCTCACGCTTGAAGATGTTCCTGGTGAAGGTCAAATCCACTTTGTCTGCAACTCATGGGTGTACCCTGCTGACAAGTACAAAAAAGACCGCATTTTCTTCGCAAACAAGGTAAAAGTTTGTAGGATGAAAGAATGCAGTTCTAATGCAACTCATTAATCACGCATGAGAGAGAGAAAGAGAGAGAGGGAGATTGAAGTCCATTAAGACAAACTCATTTAGTTGTAGTTTATGGACTGCTAGAAATACTGCAAATGGTAAACTAGTAGGTTGATTTGTATATTTGTGCAGACTTATCTTTCAAGTGACACACCGAAGCCACTACAGAAATTCAGAGAAGAAGAGCTAGTAAACTTGAGAGGAGATGATGATGATAAAACAAGAGAGCTTCAGGAATGGGACAGGGTCTATGACTATGCCTATTACAATGATTTGGGGAATCCAGATAAGGGTCAGGAGTATGCCCGTCCAGTTCTCGGAGGGTCGAGTGAGTTCCCTTATCCTCGCAGGGGAAGAACAGGAAGACCACCAACTGAGACAGGTTAGTTGATAAACTTGGTATTTTTTCAGTCTTTAGAAATGACAAACAGGAAATATGGATTTCTACTACTTTTAGCTCATTCAGAAAGAATGGTTGTCATGAAGAATTTTCTGATTTTGTCTTGATAGATCCTAACACTGAGAGCCAGCTGAAGCTTATTATGAGCCTAAATATATACGTTCCAAGAGACGAACGATTTGGTCCCTTGAAATTGTCAGACTTGCTTGCTTATGGTTTGAAAACCATACCTCAGGTCCTTAAACCTGAGCTAGCAGCTCTACTTGTTGGCAGCCACAATGAGTTCAACAACATGCAAGAAGTACTTAAGCTCTATGAAGGAGGTATAGAGTTGCCTGATGGTATACTAAAATATATTAGGGATAGCATACATGAAGAGCTGTTCAAGGAACTTTTTCGAACTGATGGTGAAAAATTCCTCAAATTCCCAGTGCCTCAAGTGATCCAAGGTATGTAGTTTACTAGTCTATGTGCCTTCATTTATACTGCTTTCTTTTACCTGACGCTGGTCTTCTAATGATTTTTACTAGACAATAAGTCGGCATGGAGAACTGATGAAGAATTTGCAAGAGAAATGCTGGCTGGAGTAAATCCTGTCGCCATTCGTCGTCTCCAAGTAATGTTAAGCTTTCGTGATCTATTGTGTAAATTTGTTTTTTTTATTTATTTAAGAAAATGGAAAACTCGAAGCTACATTTGAATTTATATTACTTTGACTTTCATCCTTAATCATTGTTATTCCTGAATAAACTGCAGGAATTTCCACCTGCTAGCAAGCTAGACCAAAAAGCATATGGGGATCAAACAAGTCAAATAACCAAAGAACACATAGAACATAACTTAAAAGGACTGAGCATAGATGAGGTAATGCTACTGACTTATTTAATTCAACATATGTTCTTGTTATATTCTTATTCGAAAATAATTACTGAAAAGTATTTGGTGTTATAGGCAATCAAGAACAACAAGCTATTCATATTAGACCACCATGATGAATTGATGCCGTACCTGAGGCGTATAAACACAACTTCCACAAAAACTTATTCAAGCAGAACACTCCTTTTCTTAGAAAATGATGGGACTTTGAAGCCATTAGCTATTGAGTTAAGCTTGCCACATCCTGATGGAGATCAATTTGGCTGCATTAGCAAAGTCTATACTCCCTCTAGCCAGGGCGTCGAGAGTTCCATTTGGCAACTTGCTAAAGCTTATGTGAATGTAAATGACTCTGGCCATCATCAGCTCATCAGCCACTGGTATAACACTGTCAAAGAAAGCATGGCAACCAAACATTTTTCCCCAAATGCATCTTGAATATGTTCTTGTTGTGTTGCAGGTTAAAAACTCATGCAGTGATTGAACCGTTTGTGATAGCAGCAAATCGGCAGTTGAGCGTGCTTCACCCAATTCATAAACTTCTGCATCCTCATTTTCGTGAAACTATGAATGCAAACGCAATAGCTAGAGAGGTTCTTACAAATGCCGGTGGAATTATAGAGGAAACAGTCTTTCCTGCAAAGTTTTCAATGGAATGGTCGTCTGTAATGTACAAGAACTGGGTCTTTCCTGAACAAGCACTTCCCGTGGATCTCATCAAAAGGTAAAATATTATGACCATAACGTTTTTCATCTAAAAATTTCGGCAATGGATGCAACTCAAATATTAGAGCTAAGACACAATGTTACAGGGAAAAATGAATACAATTAAAGGGTCTAAAAGATTTGATGAATACTGTCATTATGTTCTAAACAAGTCTCAAAAACAACGAAGATGACAGGCTTGATGGTTTTTAATTATCTACCCCTTGCTATGTTCAGAGGAATGGCAGTTGAAGATCCAAAATCGTCACATAGTGTACGCTTACTGATAGAGGACTATCCATATGCTGCTGATGGGCTTGAGA